CTGTAGGCTGAGAAGATCCTGGAGGGATGAAGGAGAAGCGTAGTGTGGAGGTTCAACCCTTAGAAGTCACCTCATGATATATTCAACCGATGATCTCAGAGAATCCTTATCAATTGCATAAGGGATTCCACATATTATGGAAAATGTGAACCCACCTGGATTACAAATTTGGATTACAAATTCCCCTTTTGTAAATTTCTGATAGAAAAAGGATGCTCCCTAACCAATCTCACATATATTACTTACAGCTTCATATCTATGATTTCATCATTCTCCACTTTCTTCTGAATGTTCTTCTCCAAAATTTCATTGTAATGGTTGATGATGGGCATCATCTGAAAGGAAGACCAATGGACAAGATGCTGGAGACACTTAGAATAGAATAGAATAACAACATACAGATGTTGGCTGCTTATAAAATTCAGCTAAGATTTATGAAAATGAGTAGAACTCAGCTCATTTTAATAGAGAGAACTTGCAAAACTCCGTCATTCCAAAGCTGGAAGAAAACCTACACTAACCAGGTTTTTCCTTCCCAATTCTGGAGATAATTAATTGTAGCTGAAATAAAATGACACTTGTGAAAACATTTTCCCATCTGACGTTTTCTTGCCATGCCAATCAGACATTTTGAGAGTTGGAATCCCAGCATGTCCAGAAGGATCAACCTTACTTTGATATAGGAAAGGTGGAGTAATTTAGCCAAAGGTTCCAAATACCTACTCCAAGGAGGGCTGGAATTTCTTAGAAAATTAGGACGACGAAAATCAGTAATGAAGAAGAGGCTTTTCGAAAAGATACTGTCTATCTTAATAGCTGAAGGGAATTAATGGGTGTGTTTAAATTTGCATTCAGATTTCATCAAGGAAAACACACAGGACCTAACAAGGTTTGGGCGAGGCTCCAGAAAACTTAGGCAATCCAGAATAAGATTTATAGGATTCTTGGAAATGTAGTCTTTCCTTTTAGGACAGGTGGATTTCACAGGCTTTTCTAACGGGATCAACCAGGCTGCTAAACACTTTAAATCTATGCTAATGAAGGCCAACTTCACTCAAAAGCAACAACTTGACAATGCTTAAGGGCAGGTTGGGTTTTCTTCAGGCAACGCAAGAATCCTTGAGAAGTCCAAAAGGCATCAAATGCTCCTCTCTTACCTCCTTCAGCCTCCCACTGGTGAAAGTGGGAGACAAGGCACTGCGAATCCTCTTCCAATGGTCATCGACCACGACAGTTAAGGCTGTGTCCACATTTCCATTCAGACCAAAGTCCTGAATAAGGTGAAATAGCAAGAAAGGAAGAACAGAAATGTCTCATGTTGTTATTCTCAGTCCTTTCTTTTCAATTTGCTGTCTTCTTAACTAAGTATACTTACTATCTATCTATCTATCTATCTATCCATCCCCCCATTCATCTATCATCTCTCTCTCTATTATCTATTTCTCTATCATTATCAATATCTATTTATCATCAT